TTTGTATTTCTGTATGACTAATGATATTTAACATCTTTCCCATGTTGATATGCAATCCGTTTACCTTTGGTGGAGTATCTGCTCAAATCTTTTGCATTTATTTTTATTGGATTTGTTTTCTTGAATTTTGAAAGTTCTTTGTATATTCTGGATACAAAGTCCTTTGTTAAATATGAACATTGCAAAAAATTTCTTATCTGTGGCTTGTCTTTATTCTCTTATCAGTACCTTTGTCAGAACAATTTTAGTAAAGACTAAATTATCAGTTTTTTCGCTATGGATCATGCATTTAGTGTTGTGTCTAAGAACTCTTCTTATCCCAAAGTTGCAAAGAATTTTTCCTATATTTACTTTCAAAAGTTCTGTAACTTTACATTTTATACTTAGATCTGTGATCCCTTTTGAATTCATTTTTGTGTATGAGGTGTGACTGTAGATTAAGGTTCATGTTTTTGCCTATGGATATCCAGTTTTTCTAGCACATTTGTTGAAAGGTATCCTTTTCATTTTAATCAAAAATCAATTAACTATATTTGTGTGGATCTATTTCTGGTCTCAGTTCTCTTCTATGTCTGTTCTGATCTATATCCAGGATCAGCAACCTTTTTCTTTAAAGAACCAAATCATAAATATTTTAGGTTTTTCAGGTGAAAAAGCAGAAACCAAGATATTATTATGTAGGTACTTATATAACAAGAAAGAAAATACATTTCCATGAATTTTCATTACAAAATTCAAAATGCAAAAATCGAGGATAGTTTTTTTTTTTTTTTGTAAGACAGCTCTACTTAATAAGAAGAATGGAATTCTTTTTTAGGAGAGGGATAAATAGTTTGTGCTAATATCAACAATGATTAATTTTGCTTCATTCGGTTTCAAAATTAGTGTTTCCTGTCATCAAAGTTGATTACAAATATTTATTGATGCATATCTGTATGAAATTTCACATGTTTTTATCTTTGAAAATGTCTTTTCATACAAGTGATTCATGTGGCAGTGGAAATGAAATTTGTGGAGTGCTGAAAAGCACTACAAAGTGATGAGGGTGCTACATAGTCTGTCATAACTACTCAATTCTCCACTGTAGCACAAAAGCCACAATCAGTTCAGTTCAGTTCAGTCACTCAGTCATGTCCGACTCTTTGCGACCCCATGGACTGAAGAACGCCAGGCTTCCCTATTCATCACCAGCTCCCGCAAGTTGTTCAAACTCATGGCCATCGAGTCGGTGATGCCATCTAACCATCTCATCCTCTGTCGTCCCCTTCTCCCCCTGCCTTCAATCTTTCCCAGCATCAGGGTCTTTTCCAATGAGTCAGTTCTTCACATCAGGTGGCCAAATATTGAAGCTTCAGCATCAGTCCTCCCAATGAATATTCAGGACTGATTTCCTTTAGGATTGATTGATTTGATCTCCTTGCAGTCCAAGGGACTCTCAAGAGTCTTCTCCAATGCCACAGTTCAAAAGCACCAATTCTTCGGCACTCAGCTTTTTTATGGTCCAGGTCTCACATCAAACATGACTGCTGGAAAAACCATAGCTTTGACTAGATGGACATTTGTCAGCAAAGTAATGTCTCTGCTTTTTAATATGCTATCTAGGTTGGTCATAGCTTTTCTTCCAAGGAGCAAAGGTCTTTTAATTTCATGGCTGTAGTCTGCAGTGATTTTGATGCCCAAGAAAATAAAGTCTGTCACTGTTTCCATTGTTTCCCCATCTATTTGCCATGAAGTGATGGGTTGAGTTTTAAGTTTTAAGCCAGCTTTTTCACTCTCCTCTTTCACTTTCATCAAGAGGCTCTTCAGTTCCTCTTCACTTTCTGCCATAAGGGTAAACAATATGCAAACAATTGGACCTGCCTATGTGCCAATAAAACTTCATTTATGGGCACTGAAATCTGAATTTCATATAATTCTAACTTGTCACAAAATAATACTTTTTAATTTTTTTCAACCATTTAAAAAATTTTAAAACATCTTTAGCTTATGAACATACAAAAACATGCAATAGACTAGATTTGCCCTATGGGTTGTAATTTGTTTATCCCATTTCCCTCATCTATACATATTTCTATCCTTTTGCCAGTTCTACCTTGTCAGGATTACTATAGCTTAAAAGTCTTGAAATCTGCAATATGAGTCCTCCAACTTTGTTCTTTTCTGAAATTATTTCCGGCTATTTTAGTTTCTTGGCCTTCCCATATACATTTTAGAATCAACTTGATGATTTCTACAAAAAATGCTCTCAGGTTTTGGTTGGAATTACGTTGAATCTGCAGAGCAACTTAGGGAGAATTGACATCTTAACAACACTGAGAGAACTTGATATATTTCCTCTATTTATTTAGGTCTTTGATCTCTTTAATCAGTGTTTTAGTTTTTTGCATATAGATTTTGCACATACTATATTGGACTTATACCTAAGTATTTCAGGTTTTTTGGTTAAAGCTGTCTTTTTTAAACGCAGATTATGTCATTTTGTTTCCCTGTTTAAAACCCTGTGGTGGGTTCCCACTGCCCTTAGGAAACTCTATACTTTAAAAGGCTATAAAAGGCCCCACGTGATCTGGACCCTGCTCTCTTTTTCAGCCTAATTTTATATTCTATTGTTCCCCTTGCTCAAAATGTTTCAGTCTAAGAATAGCAAGAAATGTTTTTATCAACCAAAGGATATAGCTTTTAGAACATTTGAAAGAGTAAATAAATACTTTGAAACAAACACTTGAAAAATATATTTTAACTTTATTGAAAAAAGACATTCCATGATCTCCAGCAAAGAATGAACTTCGATTTTGGCCAAGTCATTGGACTCTCTGTGTGGAATTCTTTGATCTTTGTCTGCATTTCTTCCACTGAGGCAGAGTGCTCTGTGAGTGTTGTTTACAAGGGATGTAGCTTTGTATATATTAGCTAAAGAAAATGTTCTTTCCTTTCTTATAAATGTGCTGAAACTTGACGAAAGATTGTGTTTCTGACAAACCAAAGATTCTGGTCACTGTCATTGTCCATGAATGAAGTTAAACTTTCCAGCTATTAAAATAGTTCTTACATGTACATGCCCACTGCCAGCATTATTATAATATCCAAAGTGGAAATGTAAGAATGTAGTGGGAAGGTCTGTAGCACTGTGTCAAAGAGAGAGACGAGAGAGAGAGCCACATGATTTTTTTTTTAAAGATAAGCCTCAAAACTAGCACATTTAATCAACCAGTGTTTATCCAGCTCCTTGCTATTGTTGTCTAGTTACTAAGCCATGTCTTAAGTCTCTGCAACCCTGTGGAATGTAGCCCACTAGGCTCCTCTGTCCATGGAATTTCCCAGGAGGAGTACTGGAGTGGGTTGCTATTTCTTCTCCAGGGACTCTTCCTGACCCAGGGATCAAACCTATGTCTCCTGTATTGGCAGGCAGATTCTTTACCACTGAGCCACCAGGGAAGCCCATCCAACTCCTTACATTAGACATATAGAAATGAATAAGGTATAGCCCAGGCTTTAAAAAGTTCAAAAACTAGTGAGAAAACAGACAATTAAAAGTGAAAGTGCTTGTTCATGGAGATATGTCTAAGTGACTTTGATGGTACCAAGGAGAAATGAGTAGCCAAGCCCAGTGGGATTTAGAGTTTGAAAAGACTAGTTGATTTTTAAGACATAAGGCTAGAAGGGAGGCAAGGACTATATCCTGAAAACCTAAGAGGCTTGTATTTCATCCTGTAACTCAAAGGTTCCAACACCTCAGTGTATATAGAATTGCCTGGATAACTTGTTTAAAGATCAGATTCCTGGAGTCTTCCCTACGAGACTGACTTTGAGTGTTTTCCCAGGTGGTTCTTACCCATCTAGCAACCCCTATCTGACATTTTGGAGCCAATGCATTAGGTAATATTGAACCACAGAAGAGTTAAGCTAGGTAATATGGTGATCATATTAGCATTATAGAAAAAACAATCTGATAGTAGTAGAGAATGTTGGAGTCACCTGAGAATTCACTAAATGCAAATTTCTGATGCAGTAGGACGGGGATTGGACTTTAGACACTACATTTCTAACAGCTTTCAAGATGAGGCTGATACTACTCTACTAAGGACCATAGTTTGAGTAACAAAGGTAGAGAGGTTAGATTGGGATGGGGTGAGGCTACTGGCATGGAGATCAGTTAACAACCTATTGTAGGAATCTAGGCAAAAGATGGTGAGTATCTGAACTACCAGCAGTGTCTGGTAATGGGAAGGAGTTCCAGTGAAATGTAATAAATAAAGTTGGCAAGACTAATTTACAAAAGGATTTAGGATGTGCAGTTAGAAGTGTGGGGAGAGGTGTCAAAAATGATCTGAAGGTTGAAGCTTAGCTATCTAGGTAGATGATAGTGGCAGTAGCTGAATTAGGATAAAGACAGAGGAAGAAGGTGGCCTGGAGGGTAGAGGAGGGCTGTTTAGAGTATAAAAGCATCTTAACAGTTGAGGAAAGAGGTGGCCAAAAGATTAGTCCTGGATACATTGTGTTTGAGGAGTCTATGAGGTATCCAAACATAAAGGGTAGACAAAAGAAGAGGAACCCACAATGGACTAAGAAGTTTTAGGTTGGAGGAGAACAGAAAGAATGGTTTCATTTCCAGGAGGGGAAGCTCACAGTATCACTGTCACAGAGACATCAAGTGAAATATTATATATACTTGGTTCAATGAGAATGCATAAAATTATGGTTTAAAAACTAGCATTTCAAAATGCTGATTAACTAAAGAGAGTTCATAAAGTGACCAAATTAGTTTATTTCTCTGTCTTTTGATTTAAGGAAAATAGGAGCCAATATTTTCTAATCATTCATCATAATAAACCTCATAGTACCTTTTCCATTCAGATTTTTTTCTTCTCTCCCCCTTCTGCCATCAGGTTGATCACACTTACAGGAGCTGCTAAGGAACACAGGGGAGGTGAAAACTAACAGATGAACGTTTTGCCATGCACTGAAAGGAGAGCATTGTCTGTGAAGTTCTATTTTTAAAAATGTCTGCTTGTAATACCTTTACTGAACACGTTTGGAAACCTGGTGAATGCAAGAACTGCTTTAAACCTAAAAGTTTACACCAGCTGCCCCCAGACCCTGAGAAGGCACCCATCACCCATGGCAATAAAACTAATGCCAACCACAGTAACAACCACCGAATCAGGAACACTGGAAACTTCCGGCCTCCTGTGGCTAAAAAACCCACCATCGCTGTGAAGCCGACTATGATGGTGGCAGATGGGCAAAGTGTGTGTGGTGAGCTTAGTATACAAGAACACTGTGAGAATAAACCTGTCGTCATAGGATGGAACCGAAACAGGATGGCCTTGAATCAGAAACCACTTAATAATAATAATGAAGATGATGTTGAAGGATTTAGCCATGTCCCTAAACCTTATGGGAATAACGATAGTGCAAAGAAGATTTCAAATAACAATAATGGACTAACTGAGGTATTAAAGGAGATAGCAGGCTTGGATACCACCCCTCAAATAAAAGAAAATGAGACTAACTCCAGAGAGACATTCTTAGGAAGAATAAATGATTGCTATAAACGATCCCTGGAAAGGAAGCTTCCACCAAGTTGCATGATGGGTGGGATGAAGGATACTCAGGGCAAGCACGTTATTCTGAGTGGGAGCACAGAAGTGATCAGTAATGAAGGGGGTCGATTCTGTTACCCAGAGTTTTCTAGTGGTGAAGAGAGCGAGGAAGATGTGCTTTTGAGTAACATGGAGGAGGAGCACGAGAGCTGGGATGAAAGTGATGAGGAACTGCTGGCCATGGAGATTCGCATGAGAGGGCAACCTCGCTTTGCCAACTTTCGGGCAAACACTTTGTCTCCAGTGCGATTCTTCGTGGACAAAAAATGGAATACCGTCCCCCTGCGAAATAAATCTCTGCAAAGAATCTGTGCTGTAGACTATGATGACAGTTATGATGAAATCCTGAATGGTTATGAAGAGAATTCTGTGGTCTCCTATGGACCAGGAAGCACTCAGAGCATGGTGTCATCCGACTCCACATCCCCAGATTCCTCTTTAACAGAAGAATCACGTTCTGAGACAGCCAGCAGTTTATCCCAGAAGATCTGTAATGGGGGAATTGCTCCTGGTAACCCGGGAGATTCTAAGGACTTGAAGGAAAGTGAGCCCAATTATGAAAGCCTCTCTGGTAATGATCAGGAGAAGGACTCCTCACAAGCCTCTAAAAGCTCAGCAAAAGTTCCAGAGACACACAAAGCAGTCCTTGCTCTCCGATTAGAAGAGAAGGATGGCAAGATTGCCGTACAGACTGAGAAGCCAGAAAGTAAAGCCTCTACAGATATTGCTGGGCAGGCAGTAACCATAAACCTTGTTCCTGTGGAAGAGCAAGCAAAGCCCTACCGAGTTGTGAATCTGGAGCAGCCTTTGTGCAAGCCGTATACTGTCGTGGATGTGTCAGCAGCTATGGCCAGTGAGCACCTTGAGGGCCATGCTAATAGTCCCAAGACTAAAAGCTCATCTTCTACTCCAAACTCTCCGGTGACATCACCTGCACTGACATCAGGACACATAAGTGCCCATTTCCAAAAATCCAGTGCCATTCGCTACCAGGAAGTATGGACTTCCAGCACCAGTCCACGACAGAAGATACCTAAGGTGGAGTTAATCAGCAGTGGGACTGGACCGAATGTCCCTCCAAGGAAAATCTGTCACAAATCAGCACCTACTTCACCCACAGCTACAAATGTTTCCTCCAAAACCATCCCTGTGAAGTCACCCAATTTGTCTGAAATAAAATTTAACAGTTATAACAATGCTGGTATGCCACCTTTTCCAATTATTATTCATGATGAGCCAACTTATGCTCGGAGTTCCAAAAATGCTATCAAAGTTCCCATTGTAATCAATCCAAATGCGTATGACAATCTAGCCATTTACAAGAGTTTTCTCGGAACCAGTGGAGAACTTTCAGTGAAGGAGAAAACCACAAGTGTAATAAGCCACACTTATGAAGAAATAGAGACTGAGAGCAAAGCGTCTGATAACACTACTAGCAAACCCACTGAATGTCCCCAAGCTAAAGGGTTTTCAAACAGCACAGAGCGTAAAAGGGGCTCAGTGGCTCAGAAGGTTCAGGAGTTTAACAGCTGTCTTAACAGAAGTCAGTCTTCACCACAGAGAAGCTACAGTTCTAGCCACAGCTCCCCAACAAAGCTCCAGAGAACCACTCAAGAACCTGTGGCCAAAACAGAAAGCACTCAGGAGCCTCAGGTGGTGGGCAGTGTCAGTAGCACCCGAGAGAAAGCAAGCACCGTGCTTTCTCAGATTGTGGCTTCTATCCAGCCCCCACAGTCTCCTCCAGAAATGCCCCAGTCTGGCCCTAAAGCTTGCAGTGTGGAAGAGCTTTATGCAGTTCCTCCTGATGCCGGTGCTGCTAAGACTACACCCAAGAGTACACCGGTGCGCCCCAAATCTCTCTTCACGTCCCAGCCCAGTGCTGAGGCTGAAGCACCTCAGACCACAGAAAGTCCTACCACCAAACCACAGAAAGATCCACTCACAAAGCCGGTCGCCACCCCTCCCTCCAAATTAGTGACGAACCCCCAAAGCGAGCCAACAGCCCCCTTTCCCCCACCACGCTCGACCTCCTCCCCTTACCATGCAAGTAACCTTTTGCAGAGGCATTTCACCAACTGGACCAAGCCAACCAGCCCGACCAGGTCAACCGAAGCTGAATCAGTTTTGCACTCTGAAGGCAGCAGGAGGGCAGCTGATGCAAAACCTAAACGCTGGATCTCATTTAAAAGTTTCTTCCGCCGTCGGAAAACAGACGAGGAGGACGACAAAGAGAAAGACCGGGAGAAAGGGAAACTGGTGGGCCTGGATGGCACAGTCATCCACATGCTGCCACCTCCTCCAGTACAGCGCCATCACTGGTTCACAGAGGCAAAAGGAGAATCCAGCGAGAAGCCAGCCATTGTCTTCATGTACAGGTGCGACCCTGCCCAAGGCCAGCTCAGCATAGATCAGGGCAAAGCCAGGGCAGAGCAGTCAGCAGTCACAGAGAAGGGTGGAGCAGAGGAGGGGTCACTGCAGGACTCAGAGAAGAAGAAAAGGAATCATTCATCTCCATCACAGATTCCTAAGAAAATTCTCAGGTATGTAAAATCGACTTGTGGAATATAGGAATTTTTTAAAACATATTTTCAGTTGCTGAGTTTTTTGCATCTTTAAGATTGTATGAGAGCCATTTTTGTTTTGTAAATAGCACTCAGTGGCCATCATCTATCTTTATAACTGCATTCCAAGAGTAGAATATTATTAAAATGATCATATTGCAATGGACAAGTTTTATGACTCTGGATCTTTAGCTAAAGTAGTCTGCTGCATTCTGGTAAATGCAGAGGAACTTTAACATAGAAAAACAAATTTGTAACACTTTACTAGCAATAAGTAATATGTTACTTTGAAATGCTATGGTAGTATGAGGAAGAAACAAGATCAAATGAATAAATGGTGATACTATTCTTTACTTCACTGTAAGTGAAATCAAACTCTTTAAGAAATTTTTTTTTTTTTTTTGGCTTTCACTAAGGTGTTATGTATATATGGATTATTTTTTAGGGGAATGTTTGTTCTTTTTACTTCTATTTCTTTCTGTCATATTTCATGTGTCGTGGAAAGGTTGGGGAAACAGCAAGCAGTTTATAGTTTTTTAACATGTAGGCGAAATAATAGAAGTTAGTTATTGAGATTGAGACCAAGTGGTATAACTCTCAATCCAACTAGGCAAACTGCACACCCACACCAGTTCTCTAAGCATCAGTTTACCTTGAATACCTGTCTGTTGATCACCTACCCTTTATAAGTCATATCCCAAATATTTATATCAAATCCTTGTAATAGCCCTATAAGCTGAAAACCAGAGAAATTAAAAATTGGCCAGATTCACACATCTAGTAAATGTCAGAGCCAGAATGCAAACCCTGATCTGTCTCATTCTGCAACTTTTATTCTTCCTATAATGTTGCATTGTTAATGTACATAGAATCAAACAAAATTTTTATACTTTCACTTGTAATCATTCACATAAATGTTTACGTTTAGGAAGTGTAAGGTTTTTTCTTTCTCACTTGTATTTTAAGCAAACTTAATGTACTTCCAATAAGAACAAGGAACTATTATCCAGGTTTGTAACAAATGGGATGATTTCCTTGTATCCCCTGCCCTTTTTACTCTTACAAAGATACAGCCTGAGTATTCCATTCATCTGATTCTGCGTCTTCCTGCCTCTTGATTTACAGTGAGCCTTCTCTCCCAGGTCTGGCCTTCTCCCAGCAAAGACAGAAAACTCTGGTTCAGGACAGAGTCTCTCATCAGCTTTTCTTTAGAAAAATGTAAATAAAAATCAACCCTTAATGCCTTCATTTCTTCTAGCAAAATGCCAGGAAATTATATATATATTCTTCGCTAAAATAAGCTTTTTATACGTACCTGCAACTAGTTATCAAAATGCTAAGAAGTTACTATTTTCCTTAAATTCATGTAATAACAAAGCAAGTAGAATAGTGGTAATACATCTCTGAAAAGAATAGTCTTGTCATTGGTAGCTGAAAGCAGATGATAGAATATTGTACTCCAGTAGTAATAAAACACATGTATTGCAGGTTGCTGTTTTATTTAGAAAAGAAGCAATTTAAACAGTACATGGCTGGAGTTACCTATGACAGAATGGCAGATGGTTCATGAAAATCAATAAATGTCTTTACTCCTCATTAAGTATGGTTGTGGTGTGTTTATCCACATCCTGGAAGACAGAGTCAAGGAATAATTTGGCTTCTGTTCGGTGGAATGAGATTCTCTACTTCCGCTGCATGCCACCGTATGCGGGGATGAGGGTAGCCTGGACCCTTTGGCATGGCAGACCTCTTGCTAAACAGCTTATATTGTCAAAGGTTTGTTTGCATATAGGCCAATCATAACTTCTACAATGTATTAGTTCTTTACAGGTAGCATCCATTTATCCAAAAGATGCAGGGCATTTACCCTACACTGTTTGTCAGATTTAACCATGCATCTCAATAACTGGAGGACTATTAAAACACAAATTGCCAGTCCAGGCCCCCAGAGTTTTTTGATTTGGTAGGTCTGAGTTGGGTCCTTCTAACAATTCCCAAGTGATGATGATGATGCTAATCCTGAGGCCATACTTTGAGAACCACTGGTTGTCCTCCCATTTTCAAGATATGTACTATAGTTTAAATAAATTTTGAGGCATTAAGCTTTTCTTAGAGGCACACTGGAATTTTCACATTTCATAATGTCCCAGACTAAGTAGAAAAAGAGATATTAGTGTTAAATAGGTTTTTTTAAATAAAAACTTTTTGGAGAGTTTAAAACTTGAATACTCACGTTGAAAAATATACACCATTTGCTTTTTCAATGATTATTCCATTTACTTGGATACACCATTAGTATTTACTTGAAACAACTTTGAGAGGAAAAACATTACTGTCAAATGTCAACATTTGTGTTTCCAGCTTGATGGCAATGTGATCATTAAATTACCATCCCACGGCTGGGAACACATTGCTGGAAGAAATGAAAATGCAAGTTTTTCTATAAGTAAATGAAGATTCCAAATCTAAATGGTACATAAAGAATGAAAAATACTGTACCAAAGGCCAAACCCTAGGCTCTGAAAGATGAAAGACTTTGTAGAGCCTTGCATTATGAGTTGAGATTTTTACTAAGTTCATTTATTTGACTGTTCAAGGGGCATAAGTTGAATGTCTTAACTGTGCTGTCTATGTGCCATAGGGATAAACAGGGATAAAGATTATCACACTGCTGAAATAGTGGATGTGGGTTTGACTTCAGTTTCAGCTGTCTGTCTGGACCTTCAGTCTGTAATTAATTTGGGGATATAATAGTAACATGTAAAAGACTTAGCGCAGGGTCTGGCACATAGTAGGTGCTTAAAAATATTACTAGACCCTCTGCCCTCACTGTGATAAATGCTTAAACAATGTATGCTCAGAATGGCACAGAAGCACAAAAAACAGAGTGATTAAATCAGCTTAAAATACCTGAAGTCAGCTTCTTAGAAATGAAATACAAACCAAGGTATTAAATGACAAATGAGATTTTGCCAGCTGGCTGATGAAGACACTGTAGGCAAAGGAACAATATATGCAAAGTCACAGAGATGATGATGGCAAACAGAAGCAGGACAGGTGACTGGAAAAGAATAATGAATAAAGCAGTGGTTCTTCAGATGTGGTGCATGCAAGGTCAAATAGTGACCGTGAAAAAGTCACCATTTTCTTAATAATACCAAGACATTGTTTGTCTTTTTCAGTATGTTGACATTTGCAGTGAAGATGCAAAAACAATAATGGGTAAAACCACTTACACCTGTGCAAATCAAAACCATGGCACCATATGGTACCAGTAGTTTTAGAAAAACAAACATCAGTTTTACTTAAGAATGTCCTTGATGAAGTAGCACATCGTATTAAATCTCAACCCTTGAGTATGAATCTGTTAAAAAATTCTGTGTGATAAAATGAAAAGTACACAGAAAGTATTTATGCTGCATACCAAAGTATGGTCGTCTCAAGGAAAACCACTTGCTAAATAGTTGAAGTTTCAAAATTTGAATTACAAAGCTGAACTAGCCTCTTTTTCATGGACCATCTTAAAAGAACAAGTGGCAGACCAGCTGTGGTTATTCAGAATTGGGTGTTTGGCAGATATTTTCTTGAGAATGAGCACAGTGAGCCTATTACTTCAAGGAAAACAACTGACAGTATTTCTCATCCATGATAAAATTCATGCTTTCACACAAAAATAAGAATTTTTGAAAATTTGTGTCTGCTACCATGACAGCCTGATAATACTTAAACATTTTTTTTCTGATGAGATTGCTGGTGGCATTAGCAAAAAAGATTTTTTTAATTTTGTAATGAAATGTGTCAACATTTGGAAGATCCACATAACCCAGTGAACCAATTACTTCCAAATGACCCCATTTAGGATGTTACAGAATTATGCATGAGTAAAAGATCCATTGAAACTGCAAGTTAAACCAATGAGTTTAATGTAACTAAGTACAAAAAGTTCATTGATATGGTTTGAGATTCCGTATTGCAAGTAACTTTTAAGAAACTACCACTTAACCAAGATCTGGTATAGTACCAAAGAAGAATATCCAAGATTATCTAGACAACTATTAATACTCCCTTGCCACCTGCATACATGGATGTGACCAGATATTTTTCATATACTTTAACCAGAGCAACATATCAGAGCAGATTGAATGCAGAGGCATATATGAGAATTCAGCGGTCTTCTAATAAAGCCATAATATTAAAGAGGTTTGGAAAAAAATATTTTGGTTAATATTTAAAGGTTTACTGTTTTTAAATGATTTAATCATTTTTTAATTTTTCAGTTTTAATTTCTAATAAAATAAATGTCAATAGCTATAATCCACATAAAGAGCCCTTACAGTTCTCAATAACTTTTAAGAGAATCAAAAGTTTGAGAACTGCTAAGAAAGACTGTGAAGAGCCTTGCATACTACATTGAAATGTTTGGCCTTTATGTTATAGATTTTGTAGCAGAAACAGCTTTCAAGGGGGAAAGTAGTGTGATCTAAAAACTTTTCTGGCAGTAGTATTTAAGATGAATTGGAAGTAGAAGATATTGGTGACAGCAATACCAGTCAAATTTTGGCTCAAGAATGTATCCATAGTCATTCCTATCCAGCTAGTCTGGATCAAGAGAAATTAATTTGGTGGTTAGTCAGGTCTGTGACCAGGTGGGAATTTCTCCATGATAGTTTTTAGAAGCACTAGTTTACCTACCATCTCTGCAACTCTTTGGTGTCCATAGCATGTCCGTAATATTGTGTAGTGAGAAAAATGAATCACTGAAGTCAGACAAAGATTTTAGTTTGAATTGTGTCACTTGTAATTGCGTGACTTTTGACTTCACCTCTCTGAGCTGAAGTTCCCCAGCATGTACCATAGAGACATCATGAGGACTACCTACCTTAAAGAGACATCATGAGGACTAAATAGGTATCTATTTACCTACCTATTTACAATAGGTAAAGTATTGTACAATACCTAGCAATATCAGTTGACTTCTT